CACTCAATAATTTAATGCATGTCCTTTGTGTTCAAGCCTTATTTTGTGTGTTTAGCCATTACATGCAAAATTAATCCATATTTAGAAAAAGCAAGTTTGCCATTCTTGTAAAAATGCACTTTATGTCAAATAACAAATCAAAGAGGTACAAGGCAGATCTTTTGGGCACAAGTTTATGAACAAATCCCACTGATCAAGAAGAGAAAATGCAGCATGCTTGAGGGGCCTGTATGAGCCTATAACCTAACTTGACAAACTTTGCTTAGATAAGAAGAAACATTGCAAAAAATACCCAACATTCACTTCCTGCAAGCACAAGCAAAAACAAACTTCATGAACACTTTCCAGACATCAAACCAAGTTTGAAACACGACCAAACCATCCCTCAAACCTCCTCATTCACATAAACACCTTCTTGCTGCAAAAACAGAGTCCCTTCTGCAACTTGACTTCCACAAACACTTCCACTCGTGCGTTTTGGCCAAAGCTTGTTCAAACACACTCCCTACCATCCATACAAATTATCCCAAGCCCTAGAGACAGACTGTAACACCCCTAACCAAGTTTGCCATTTTCACTTTTCATTGTTGCAGGTTGACTTCCATAGCTTGATTCAGAAGGATTCAAGGCACACCAAGCATAGAGGAAGTATCCTTGGACCTCAGGCAAGCTGTACAAGTCCTCAAACACCATTGAAGTTGGCCATATTACTCTGTTCGAGTCAAGCTGAAATAGGTAAAATGTGAACTTCTATCTCTCTATCCAAGCATATTTAGGCTTAAGTTTGTGAAGAAAGTATGTTCTACTCACGGTCCTGAAGCTATCCATATACTTACTTTTCATTTATATTGTGTGTGCTGAGAGAATTTGGGACATGAACATTGGAAAAAACTTAGGTTAAAAATTGGGGGAGAAGAAATTCTCTCTCATTTCTGAGAGTTAGAACAACTTCTTTATATGTTTAGAATCGTGACATGATGCTCTATAATGTTTATGTTGTGAGTTTTTGTTAAAAGTCAAGGAATCAAGAGATAGCAGATGGAGAGGGAAACACGCGTTTTTCTGTTTGAAAGGTTGCTGGAGGTTGAAGACAAAGTTGACTTGGGATGGGCCTGAGTCAACTTGCTTTTTGCACCCTCATTTTCCATTTTCACCCCCCTGGCCCATTGTGTGTTTTTTAAAATTATTTTTGACTTTTTATTTTTTCTTCTGACTTATTATTTTTGGTCAAAACATAAAAAACATTTAAAATATTTTTTCACTCATTTTTGCATTTTATTTGGAATTTATTTGTTTTATTTGAACTTATACATGTAAATAAATAAATATATATATATATATACTTTTATTTAAAACATTAAAAAAAAAACAATACAAAAATATATTTTCAGCCATTTATTATTTATTTACCTTTTGAAAACATTTTCTAAAAAATATACTTTTTTTTGTAAATAATTAATATTTTTATTTTTTGTACATATTTAGTATAGTTAAATATATATAATATATATACTTGTACATTTATTAAAATATTTAGGATAAAATATGAAAATAATACATTTTTATTTTTATGAATATATGACACTAAAAATACTTTTTTTTACAATATACCTTTTATTTTTGTATATATAATTAATATATATTGTATATAATTAATAAATACTATTATTTACTTAAAATTAGGATTTTGCCCTAAATAGCAAAAATATTCAAATTTGACTTTTTTTATTTTTGTTTATATTCCACATTGAAAAATACTTTTACATACATACAAAACCATTTTTGTGCATTTTGCATATTTATTGTATTTTATTTAATTATTGTACAATTAAATAACTTGTATATTCAATTTGGATGTAATAGTTTAGATTTTAATTTCTTGCTAAATATCTCCCATTTGAACATTTGTACCCCCATTCCCATAATTATGTTGTAATAATTTAGGACTTTTAAATTCCGCATTTTAAAGCTTTCTAATTATGCCATGATAGACTTAGGGTTTGTATGCAAAAATCAAATAACAAATAGCTTGACCTAATTCAAAGACAAAAAAGCATGAAAATGGACAACACCAATCACACTTGCACCCTTAGGGTTACTCCACTTGTTGCCTTCAATAATGGGCCATGCTTGCATGTTAAGTATCTTTGGCAAAACAAAAACAAATCAAATGATCATAGTCCCTCGATGACGCTTTCTCAAGTTGCCTAAAAATGATCAAGTCCCTTAAAAGAAAAATTGTCAAGGACACTTGACACTATTGCATTCATGGTCTAAACAATGACCCGCGCCCGTCCCGTTAACATCCTAACACAAGATTGTCCACCAAATACAATGGTGGAACAATACTGTTAAAAGGGTTAAAACATAGAAAAAATCTTTGAGAAATTTAGGGGTAGACAACTCTTAGTTACTTGACCAACTTGCAAAATAAATCCTTGCCATTTTTCAAAACCCACTTCACAAACACAATTTCAAAACAACTTTCGAAACCTTGAAACATATTTTCAAAAAGACAAACACCTTTTGTAAAACATTCGAGTAAAGAATTGTTACAAGGGTTGCCTAGACAAGGCATCTTTTTCAAAACATTTTCAAAACCACACACAAAGCACCATTTCAAACAATTGAAAATGTAAGGCAAGTGATCTAAGCAAGTAACTAAGAGCCCATGGATAACCATGGATAGAAAGGGTGCTAATACCTTCCCTTTCTATAATCTACTCCCCGAACCCAAGAAAACATCTCAAAGGTTTTTGCTGTGCTTTTTAACCTTTCCTTAGGATAAAATAAAAAGTCGGTGGCGACTCTTGCTCAACCGAAACATTTGCGAAAACAAACGCAAAACCTCAAGTCAGTTCTCCCACCGTATCACAATAGCCATCCACTCCAACAAAGGGTCTACAACCATTAATGAAACCCTTTTTACAACCATCAAAGCAAAAATAAAAGGAACCAAACCTTAGCTGAATAGACGCACTTGGTCTTTCTAAACTGATACTCAAAGTGTTCCCAGGATTCACTCTATGTAATTCTGCATCATATGTCCTTAAATTTGCATACTGTTTGTCTGCATCTCCTTCAAGCATCTTCTTGACTATGAGTTTAGCCTTCCATGCCTTAACCACAGTGATTCCCACAAAATAATTTTGCCTCAAGTCTTGAATTATATCACAGATCCTGACATTATCAGAGGTTTGCATTTTCTTCAACGCAACCTTAACCACTCACCTTGAACTTGCGGATTTGTTGTCTAAAACCCTAACACATGTGTGTTTGTCAACTATGGTTTTTATAGCATAAGTGAGCTTATGACCCACTTTGGCGCACAACATTAAAAACCCACAATTGGCCCTGCATACTACCCTTACTCTGTCACTTTCATTTTTCACAAACGTAATTCCCCCCATTTAATACTGACCACTCACGAATGGCATATCTAAAATCATCTAGGGAGTTAAATTGCATACCCCACTGAAATTTAAAATCCTTATTTAAATGCTCTTTCCTAAACTTTTCAAACTTTGGCACTTTCCCTTTTGTCACTATCAGATAAATTCGGGTCAGAGCTATCCAACTCATCACTCACATATTCTTCATCCTCACAAATTTTCTGTTTGGACCCAGTCATAAACTCACCAACTGAAGGGCTCTCATTGATGGGTTTAGTTACATCAATCCCTTCAAAACCATCTAGAATAGCAGTGACCCGTTCACCCTCACTATCACCCAACCCTTCTACGAAATTGTCATCACATCCCTCCGTCTCAACATTCTCATTGACACACCTTGGACTACTTACTAAGGTTACAATATGAGTAACATCGTGCTCCACGAAAATTTCCCCGTCTAGTTGGGCCGCACACGCGTATGCAGCGAAATCATAATAGTCATCATCCTTCCTAATCTGGAAATAATTATCATCTATTTCACGAATTAAAGTCCACGTTCTATAAGTTTCCTGCTTGTAACCCCAACCGGTAACCAACCCTAAATGCTAAGCATTGCCAACTGATCCAAGTGGAGATCCGAAACTAAAGTACTTACACCCCCTCTGTAAATCGTAATCCCATTGTTCAACATTAAAAATTCACCATCATGATGGAACACAATATTTAACAGATGATTATTCTGAAATCATTTGAGAAAACCTTCAAAAACTAACATTTCACTGTATGTAGGAGTAAGAGAACAAGCAGCTGAAAAAACTTACCTTATCAGCATCAACAGAAGCGCCTTCTTTGTCGTGCTTCTTCGGTTGCCTTGAATGCTTCGCCTTCTTCAGGTGCTTCTTCTTCTTCGCTGCAAGTTTTTCCCCCATTATGAGCTTGCTAACTTTGTTTGATAGTGAATCCTAGCTTTTTCAGGGGGTGCATCAGTACACGAAATATGTTATAAGTAATAGACGCAAACATGACATTTAATTACACAGTCAGCAAACAATCAAATGCCACGTCTGAAACTCAAAGGGAAATCTTAGACTGTAAGATTTTCTGTTTGGAAATCAATATTTATTAAGAGGAGAAAAGATTTTTTTTTAAAAGAGAATAAATCAAAATTCACCAGTTTCGCAAAGGAGTAAAATATATTTAACCTTTTTTTTTTAACACGGGACAAAATTTAAAATTTACACCCTTAATAAAACCGACTTCACCTCACCTTATTTTTGAAGGACTTTTGTGGGCATTTGCATTAATAGAGACAAAAGTGTAATTTAGTTTTTCTTTAACTAAAAATTCAGATGAAAAACATAATAACTCGATTAGGACATATGTTTGTTTAGGTTGGTGCAACTCGTTCCGGTAGAAAGAAGAAAGGACAGTGGAAAAGGTTTCACCGGTTGCTTATAGGCCCTGCGGTTGATCAGATCCGATCACACATTTCATCAAAGCTTCCTTATTTCATACATCTCCTATGCTCAAACCAATTTGAATCCCTAAATTCATTCACGGGTTTTCGGTTAGGGTTAGGGTTTGGTTCACAATTTCACTTCACCAGCCATGTACAGCGACGGCGAAACTCACGACGCTCCTCAGAGCCAGAGGAAAATCCCCCCTGCATCCTCCATGTTGTGGGTCCGCAACCTCCGCCGTTTCATAGGATCTGGTGCCGGTCTCGGATCCGAAGCTCTAATGGGTTCGTATCGTTTTCCCTCTTTTTGATATCAATTAGCATTGTTCACTTTCTTCTCATACATTATTATTACAATTATTAATTATTATATGTATTTAATTACTTCATTTCTGCTAGTGTAAGGTTGAATTGCTTCAATTCTATTTGCAGTAATAGGAAAATTCATTGATTCTATGCTATCTCAAACCCTAATTGTTTATTAGTTTATTTGACTTCACTTTGCAGAGCTTGAAACAAAAAGAATCTTGCTTGACATTTTTAAAGAAAAGCAGAAGAAAAGCGCTGAAGCTGGTACAATTCCCAGTTTCTACAAGAAGGTATTGACTCAAAACATTACTTGTTAATTCTGATTTTATGTAAGACTTATTATCTATATGGAATCCTGATATTGAAACGTTTCATCTTCTTTTAGAAACCCGAAGAGGGATCAATCAGTCATAGAGTCCAGAGATTGGCTAAGTATCGTTTTTTGAAGGTATTATTTTCTGGCTCACCTCTTTGTTGGTCATATCTGCTTAGACACTGGATAATTTTTTTCAATTGGTGACGTTCCTAGTACATTTAACAGAAACAATCAGGTCTTCTTCTGAATGCGGATGATTTGGATGCAATGTGGGTGTGCTTAAGAGAAAATTGTGTCATCGATGATGCAACTGGTGCAGAAAAGGTCTGTCACTATCACACGTGCCTGCATTTTCTTATTACCAAATTTCATAATATATATAACTGGATTTTCTATTATTCGAAGTTTGACAAATCTTTGAAATACACCACAAAATTCACAGGAGCTAGACAGGCTTAACCAACCCCCCGGATTTAAAAAAAAGAAACACCTAAACTCTTGCATTCGTGCAAGCTTTATGGGCTGATACATCACATCCTCAATAACAATCCCCAATACTTGCTTCTAGATCGTAATTCTATAATCGGTATCAAATTATACCATTAAAGATCAGAGGCTCGTTCTATTTCACAAGGCATAATTGACTTGTGCTCTATTTATACGTTAACTGAATTTTGGCGTATATTCCTATATGAATTTTCGCAGAGACAGTATCTGTTTCAGAGCAATGATGTTACGTCAACATATTCCTTCTTCATGAATGCTTACTTATTTTGTATGTCAAGACATCCTCAATTACAATTCCCAATCCATGCTTTTAGATTGTAATTCTTTAATCAGTATCAATTCCTCGGATACCATTAAAGATCGGAGGCTCATTCTATTTCACAAGACATAATTGATTTGTGCTATATTATACTTTTACTGAATTTCGCCGTATATTCCAATATGAATTTTTGCAGGGACGTATTTTGTTTCGGAGCAATGATGTCAACAACACTCCTTCATGAATGCTTATTTTGTCTATCAAGATAAAATATTTCCTGTTAAATAGGAGACATAAGTTTATATTGTTCATCTAATTAAACACAACTTTTCTTAGATTTCTACCTTGCTCATCTAAAAATTTACTGCAATTTTATTTGTGATGTATAATTTATTTTAATGGATTGCTACTTGGCTTATTTGCCTCTGCATCCAAACTCTATTCATGATGCAGTCCTTATGTATACTTTAATTTGTTTCTTACAGATGAATTATGAAGATTTTTGCCACATTGCCTCTGTATGTACAGAACAAATAGGTCCTAAATGCCGTCGATTCTTTAGTCCTTCTAACTTCATGAAGTTTGAAAAAGATGAGCAGGGAAGAATTGCCATTCTACCATTTTACCTTTACGTGATGCGTACGGTAGGTCATTTCCAACTCGTACTATTTTAGTGGTGTTTTTGTTTAATTCTCATGGATAGTTTACTATATATGTGGCTCTGTGTTTTATTTCTTCATTCAAATTTATTTTCTCCTTGTTTATTCGTACCTCGAGCTTGATGAATGTATCAAATATTTATGAAGGTATCTAATGATTATGGTTCTACAGGTTTCACTTACACAGGCAAGAATTGATATGAGTGAGCTTGATGAGGATTCTGATGGTTTCCTTCAGCCACATGTATGGACTCTTATCTCTGTTAGGCTTTCAATTGTTAGAAATTGAATTGAACTATTTGTTAGAAATCTCATTTATTCAAATTATTTACTTTATGTTATCTAGATATATTTTTAGAAAAGTAGTTGCTCTTATAAACACACATTTCCATCCATAGCAATGTTTCATCCAGCCAACTATCTATGTGATTGGTATCTCCTCCTTATTATATAGTATTTATTAACGTTTATTCTCAACGATCTTCTTATACCAATTTTTTATTTATGATAATTTGACCTTTATTCTGTTGGCATGCTTATAGTTTCTTGGGCATATAGCGAGTTAATTCCTTTTTGTGCCCTTAATCTTTTGAGAAATCTAACATTTGGAGTGGTTTATTTGCTGTGCTTTGAAGATGGGAAACAAGTTACAATTCCACAGTTTCTTGGATAAAAAGATTAGGTTAACCCGAAATGTTACCAATTTGTTTTTCAGGAAATGGAAGCCTATATACGAGGTCTTATACCCAATTTGGCACAGTTACGTGAAATCGACCCAGGCTTTGTTCCAATGTATTGTCGTATTGCTGCACACAAGTTCTTTTTCTTTTGTGATCCTCATCGACGAGGTTTGCATGACTGATATCTTTTAGATGCTAGGTGCTATTTTATAGTCATATTATCTTTTATTTGGAACTTTTTTATTGCTACAAAATATATTTTCTTTAATTTAAATAATTGAATCGAAATTTAATATGATCCTAATTGAAGCTTTTGAATCGAAATTTAATATGATCCTAATTGAAGCTTTTGAATAAAAGCTCTTGATGCATAGAATCTTGTACCAATTTATTGTCAAAGTTGAGCACCAAAAAACATGTTAAAAATAAGACATGCTTGTTTATTGTTATTGAATCTTATGTCACTCAAGGTTATCAAGGCCGTGATCCAGATCGTGGAATCGCACGATCTTGCGATCTCGATCATCTCCTCAGATCTGGATTGCAAGCAAGATCGCGTTCTTGTGGAAATCGCTTCAGCTTTTGTTTTCGTTTCTGTTTTTCGTCTAACTCTGTTTTCTGCGTTTTCATCTTCAGCTTTTGTTTTGTTCTTATTTTTTTAATTTTCACTGTTGCTTTGGTTTGGAAAAATCACGTGAATACGCACTGTGAATGAGACCAGTCAAGTCAACTTTTAAAAAGTTTTCAGAACTTTACTTTTGGTTTATTAGGTGTTGTGTTACTTTACTTTTGAATGAACTTCAGAACTTTACTTTTGGTTTATTAGGTGTTGTGTTACTTTACTTTACACAACAACACTTTATAAAATCGTAACATAAATTAGTTTGTTAAGTTACAACTTAGAGTTGTGAATGACTCACATCTAAAGGGCATGAACATTAGATTTCTATACTGATTATTACCTTTCATGCTTATTCGATTATATATGGTGTAGCAAATGATTTACAACTTACTAGCCTTTGAGTATGTCATATGAATATGCAGCTTTTATTTTAAGAGGTGGAAATGAAAAATTACTTTGGTGGCTTGAGTTTGGCTAAGTAGGAAGGGGTTGAGAAAATAATGGCTGAATTATAAATTTAAAGCTTAAGGATACATTTGGATTGATGGAACATGATGGAACAAAGCGGAATGTAATGGAGTGGAATGGAATAGAATAAGTTTATGCTCCATCGATAAAAAGAGGATGGAGTGGAGCGGAACATGATGGAATGCATTCCATCCCATTCTATTATCACTTACCACCATTTTCTTACCCTCCAATTTGGGCGGAATGGAAAGATGGCTCTGTTTCATCTTAAAATATCCAAAAAATGAAATGGAACCTATAGTCTGCTCCGTTCCATTCTCTTCCGCTTCGTTTGGCTCCTTTCCATTCCGCTCCGTTCGTTTTAAAATATCCAAACATGGCCTAACTATATATATTTTATATGTTTGCCCTGCATGTGTACATTTTTGCACCAATTAATTTCAGCTAAACCAGCATATGTTCATCCATCTAGTATTGTCAAAGTCTACATAGTTATTCTTTTTACTTTACAGGAAAAGCTTGCATCAAGAAGGTGCTGCTTAGCAATTGTCTTCAGGAATTAATGGAGCTTCACCAGGTAGGTTATATAAAAAGTTTTATCTAATATTTTAAGCCAAGCATCACACCAGGTAGGATATATAGCCAAGCATCATAGCACATAACTCTTGTCCAGGTCCTCCTGGTGCTCATACTTCACAATTGGTTTGTTTTAATCATAACCATGAACTATATTTTGTTCTATCTCCCATGCTTTACTTTGAAGCACTATGCTGAGTATGGTGTTACATGTTTCAGGAAAGTGAAGAAGAAGTAACAGACACAGAACAGGCCGAAAACTGGTTCTCTTTGACTTCTACCCAACGTATATGTGGTGGGTATCTTTCATTGGTTGAGATTTCAGGATTTATTTACCTCCAGCAGTCCAGCTTGAGGGTAGTAATAATACTAGTCTGAGGAATTATTCTTATTTAAATGATACTAAACATATTTTGTCACTTAACAAAGAGCAAGTGGCTAATTGACCATGTTCAGGTGTAATGAACCGCAAGCTTGGCATTAATTGTAGCTAATCCCCATAGTGAATCTGCAACTAATTGGTAGTTAAATATAGTATTGTGAACCTGTGGCTAATTGGTAGTTAAAATTCTGTAGGGAATCGGTAATTATTATTGAAACATATCATTATCATCCATAGATCAGATGTCAACGCTAGAATCAATCAAATATAGGCGGAGAGTTGGTAGAATAAAAAGGTAGAAGAGATATCAGAAGAATGAATTGGAGTGTTTAGGGCCTCGAGCGTCCATGTCACACTTATTTATTTTTTCAATCAAATTATTGTAAATCTGTTCACACTTCACACCATTGCAATTATCACACTGATTCAAGTAGTTGCTGTTATACGGGTTCTCCTTATCTTTCTGTTTGCTGGTCCCGTCTCTACCAATTTACTTTGTTAAATTTCATGATGATTTGAAGTTGTGATTGTGTTTATGTTTCCATTTTTCTGCAGACATATTTCTTGCTCTTGATAAAGATTCAAATGGATCATTGAGCAAGCAAGAGCTGCGAGAATATGCAGACGGGACTCTAACTGAGATTTTTATCGAGAGAGGTAGAAACTATTACCATTCTTCAATTTTGGGGTAAATTTTGTTGAGTAATTACCAATAATAGGCAGCCATGGTTACTGTAGTTGTCTGTTCTTTCTTTTTGTGTTTGCTATTGTTTTTACTGCTGGATTGCAAACATATTTTAAGCTAGAGTAGCAGCATGCACTATCACCGACATTTATAGTTTGACACATCCTTGCCTTTCTAAAATTAAAGAATTAAATGAATAAATGCTCTTCCTGTAGTGTACGATGAACATATTCGCCGTGGAAAGAGTGGTGGTGGAAATGTCCGGGAGATGAATTTCGAAAGTTTCTTGGACTTTGTTCTGGCTTTAGAAAACAAAGACACTCCAGAAGGCTTGACATACTTGTTTCGTTGCCTTGATCTTCAAGGCAAGGGTTACCTTACTACTGCAGATATTCACTCTCTTTTCAGGTAAAGTCGTGCTGTTGGCATTCGTGTATTTTGTATTTACCTGCATTATCGCCTTAGTCTTTGCTTTCTAGAAAATTATTGAATAATTTACTAACGACTAATGGAAGTATAGAAGGGGAGCATCCATATGCTGAGATGTTGCCTGATACAATCTTCCTATAAAAAAAACTGTTGTTTCCTGCTTGTAGTGCTTGAGCATGTCCTGCAAGTCTCAAATAAACAGTGACAAATTAGTATATTTAAGTTGTAGTTAAAAAGCTCGTAGTTGGACATTGGACATTGGGTTGGGTCGATCTGTCCGCCTCTAGTTGGGATGATAGGAATTTTCCATGTCCCTTAACTAACAATGTGGTTATATAATTTAATATTACTACTTTTACTTCTCAGTTCTCACGTAAGGTTTTATTGTTACAAATAAATAAAACAGAGACGTACACCATAAATGGATTGAGGGTGGCAACTATGAACTTTGCATCGAGGATGTCCGAGATGAAATCTGGGACATGGTTAAGCCAGGAGATCCTCTCAAGATAACATTGGCTGATCTATTAGGCTGCAAACAGGGTGGAACTGTAGCCAGCATGCTCATAGACGTGCGTGGTTTCTGGGCTCATGACAACAGAGAAAACCTTCTACAGGAAGAAGAAGAACCAGAAGAAGAATAACTCTGATCCGTTCATGCAGAGGGCATCTGCTGCCTTAAATTTATTGCATTTCAACCTAGGATTCTCACATGATGTTGTAACCCTCATTAGATGTGGAATTAGTCGTGTTCATCCAAATATTAACTGTAAAAACACCATATAGTAGTGTACCTAGTGAAAACTTGTACTGATTGTACCAAAATGCTTTTGTTATGATTGAATATAAACTAGTAATATTGGTTTGTATGGTGTCCCATATTTTCTCAGTTTGTCTATCAACTTATTGTTGAATATAAATTGACGATAAGATTGTAAAATACTCTCTGATAACAGTATATCAGAGTTAAAAACAGAATTTTAAATAAAACTCCATTATCCAAAAATTGAAATATTCCTGTTAAAAAAACATCTAAAATTGACTTTGTTTAGGGCATTTTATTGAGGTTGACACTGCTATTTGAAATTTTTTATAGAGGTTGACAACGCTATTTGAAATTTGTTAAATGTTTGTATCTTTTAATCTAAATTTTTCAGAAAAATTGAACTCTTGGAAATTAAAATTCGAGCATGAGTTTATTTTAATTATATGAATGTATAGATCAACCATTTAAATAAAAAATGATTCTGATTTAAATTTGGGAGAGAGAATTTTGTTTCCATATTGATCCTGAATTTGTATTTGACTGCATTGAGTTAAAATATCATGCACCGAGTGTTTTAAATTTTATTTTCTAATAATCATTCCTATTAAGGGCCAGTTTATTATAGATTTAAAAAATGTTTTTTTTTTTGTATTTTTAAAATGCTTTTTATAAAATAAATTTTGTTTTTATAAATTAAAAGATTAATATATGATCAGAGACAAGTTGATTTTATAAATTAAAAGATTAATATTGATTTTATAAATTTTGATTTTATAAATTTAAATAATTTTAGTTTTCCAAGTTAATGATAATCCATATGACAAATTATTTCATATTAGAAACTTTTCTAGAACTTTAAGGATGAAAAATACAAGTTACACGGCATTAAAAAATCGGGAAAAACTAAGTGAGACTCATCCTTAACAATATTAGTCATTAATTTTACAATTATAATAAAACAAAACATAATAATAAAATCGGTGTTATGAAATATTATTTTTGATTTTATTTATAAGAAAAAAAATAGTTTTTTAAAAATTGATTGAATATCATTTTTTTTATTGTTTTAAGAAAATAAGATTTTAATTGAATAAATAAAAACTTAATTACTAATTAATTTAAATTTAGAAAAATAATTAAAATTAATCTATTTTTGTATTTTTATTTTGTTTGAGAAAGAAATAAAACTTAAATCACATGCTAACTCTAATTTTTTTCTAATTTCTTTTAAACATGAAAAAGTTAGAATTAGTCCTAAATTAAATTAAAAATAATATAAAATTAAATTTGATAAAATAAAATAAAACCTATTTGTGAAATTGATTTTATGATTTTTTTGTAAAAAAAGAAATTAATTTGTGGTTAGAAAATAAATTAAACCAATTAAATAAAAGAAATAATTAGAAAAGAAAAAGAAAAAGGCCTGATGTAAATAGCAAAAGGAAGGGGTGTTAATGGCAGATCTGAGCCCAAAAAGTGCCTGGCTCGTTTGACTTTCTAGATCCTATGTTGCTAGCTTGATCGGGCGTATGGTAGACTCTCAGGGATAAGGCATTGGATCTGCCTTGTTGAAGATCTGTTGGCTGAATATTGCTGGTGTATGGTGGATGCCTTGGATGCTAGCGCGCCTGATTATGCAAAGGAAAATAACATAAGATAAATATGGGGACCTGGGGATCGAACCCAGGCCCTTAGACATTCTACCCCTGCGCGCTTACCAGCTGAGCTGACTTAGTTAATTGTACAAAGAACAATAAACAAACATTATATGGAAGAGACAAAATGGTATTTACAAAACGCGCAAATTTTTGAATGGGCAAGTCAGGGAGTGCCACGTTACCCTTCTTCTTCCTCCCACCGTTGCTAAAGGTTCGTTGACTTTTACCTACAGACAAATGGGCGTAGGTACAAGCCCGTGTTTCTCCAAAATCCTATACAAACATGATAAATGCAAAACAATGGTACCAATCAACTCGTGGCAACCTCACGAGCATCATGGTACCCTTATCCATGGCCAATTGTACCTGTATGCAAAATCCCTAAAAACAAAGCTCGAACCCTAATCATGGCATCTTGATATGTAGTCAATAAAAATGCAATTAAATACAACCATTAGATTGCAAATGACTCAAGGATTAAGAATATGCAAATAAATCATGCTAAAAGTGCCAAAATTGTGATATTCGAAATCAAGAAAAGTGAGAAACTGTGTGGTACTTACAACGCGTTTCAAGGCTTGAGGGAGCTTGCTAATGGTTGAAACACGTTCCTGGGATGTCCAGCAAACGTTTGGGATGCTTAGAATGCTTTGAATTGGTCTGCAACTTAGAAATCAGTGTGCCACTTTTTTCCAATTTTTTGAAACTTGTTTTCTTGTTTACACGCCTCCAATTCCCCTGTTTTTGATCTGAACATGTTCCTTATGTACCCTAGAATGGATTAGGGTTAAAATTTGGTTTTAAATCTTCTCCAATTATGATCATTGATTCAAGATTTGATCCTTTGTGCAAATCTTTCCAAATTGAGAAAATCCAATCTTTTTATGTCCATTTGAAGCTTGCACGATTTGATTCCATCTCCAGCTATATAATAGACCTAAACATGCACGAAATCTCAAGCTTTGATTAGTTTTTGATATTTTCATGATTTTATTTTCATTTTATTTGATTTAATTGAAATAAAATCAAAATAAATGACAAAAATAAAAGAATGACAAATGGGAAGGATCATGGGTCGTGAGTCATATTATAAACTCAATGCAAGCATAAAAAGTTGGGCCCATTTGACAAGAAATACAATTTTGGCCACATTTGACTTTTGGCAATTTTGCAAAAAGGGCGCGGGTCAATCGTACAGTCATAGAAGGCAATTTTTCATAAGGGACTAGATCGTTTTACCGAAGGCGACATCGAGGGACTATGATCTTTTTTATTGAAGGGTCTTTGCTAAAGTGTCCCATATTCGAGGGACATGACTGTGTTTTCGAGGCAACAAGCAAGGTTACCCTACAGGTGCGCGTGTGAAAGTGTGTTCGATTCAAGTTAAAATTGTCTTTGATTAAGGTTATCTAGCGGTTGATTTTAAATCTTGCCATGCATGCCTAATTACTATACAGTATAAGGAAAAGAGTAAATTGAGGAAATTAAAATTCCACGCTATTACAGAGCTTTCGGGAATGGGGGTACAAAGTCTAGTCTATCCAAAGCTTTCTTAGGCAGCACATTCAAAGATGAACCAGTATCAACCAGGACATGGGCCAAAGTTGTGCCCCTGCATTCGACAGAGACATGCAACGCCTCATTGTGTTTCCTCCCTCTAAGCGTTAGGTCAGTATCAGAAAATCCTAAACCATTTTCAGCTAATAAACTGGCCACACAGTCTTGGAACTGGTCAACAGAGGTTTCTTGTGGCACGTGAGTATTTTTGAGAAATTTCACCAAGGCCTTCGCATGAGCCTCGGAGCACAACAGTAAACCCAACATAGAGATCTTTGACGAAGTTTGCCCTAGCTGTTCGACTACGTTGTAGTCGCTTCTCTTTATAATTTTCAGAATTTCTTCCATCTCCTTCTTGGAGGCTTCTGGGATAGATACTGATTGCGCCTTCATCCGGACAGGCTCAACCAGAATGCCTTTGCCCCGAGTCTCGGTCGACTCGGTGATAGGGGTGTTAGTAGGGGTAACCATATGGACTGTAGTAGTAGTAGTGTCAACAACAAAAGCAGGGATGATCACAGGACCGGTAATAGTTTTTGGAGGAGCAATCTCTGGGGAGAATACTCTTCCACTTCGGGTTATTTTGCTGGTTCCCGCAATGTTGCCGATGTCGGGGGTCAGCCTTCTCAAAAATCGAGTCTTCATCAGCCAGCCAATCTGCTTGACGCCATGATAGTAGACTTTGCCCTCATAATTCCAAGGGACAGTTTTATCTAATGAGTACGGGATTGGTCCTGACATAGTAATTATCAGTGGAGTCATTTTAGGAGAAGATGTAATCCTAACGGGTCTTTTGGTGGAGACCCTGGAAGGATTGGCGGAAATGGTTACTATTGAAACATCCTTGTAAGAAAAGGTTGGAAAGGGAGTCTTTTCAAACAAAATCACTTTGTCATCCATTAGACGCTGGATACATGCTTTTAATAAATGACAACCAGTTGGTAAGGATAAACAGAGGTGGTAGCCTTCGCCACAACCTAGAAATAAACCGGCCTTCAACAAGTTCTTCTTGACAATCAGGAGAGGGGTAACAAGTTCATCAACAACAATAACAAACACATCATCTTCAAAAGAGGTAACATCACGACCATGCTTGGGCATATGAGCAGTGATAACATTTGGGATCTCAGGAGCATCAAATTCAATTTCTTTTGCTTCATGAAGGTCTTGCACCTTGTTTTTCAAAGCCCAACAGTTGTTGGTATCATGGCCTGGACTTTCTGAATGGTAAGCACATCGAGCATTAGGGTGGTAATGAGGAGATGCGGTGTTGGGATTTTTTAGGGCTTCCTTCAAAGTTACCAGATTAGATCTCAATAAATGTGGCAGGACTTGAGACAATGTCATATTTATCCGGGTAAATTGTCTTACTGGTCTTTCCGTTCTAGGCTGGTTATTCCTTTGTTGAGTAGGTGCAGGCTTAGGGATCATGACGGCCCCTACCATTGGACGAAGTTCAATTCTGTCCTGATTCCTTTGAGGATACACAACACCAACTTCTTTCTTTCCAATAAATGGTTTTCTCACGGCACTGGAGGATGTGTCCTTTTGGATCTTCCCATTCTTAATCCCAGCTTCTGCTCTTTCCCCGATCAAGATTAACTCAGTGAAGCCTGCTGATGAGCTTCCAATTAGATGATTAAAGAAAGGACCAGACAGGGTA